TAAGTAGAAAAATTTCAGCGTTATCTACGATACAAATATGAGCACTCTAAAATGCACTAAATACAGAAAAAAAGACTGTTCGAACTGGATTTTTTTCTAACTTTAGCGCATTTTAAAATGCTCACATTTTTTGCTAGAAATAACTTCAAATTCTTTTTTACAGTTTAGTTTTCAAGAACAAACATTTGTCTACAAAATGAGAGGTTTCGCGACTCTGAGGTTTATAGGCGACTTATAACAATTTTCGTGGAAAACGTAACACCAGTCTTTAACTGGTGCATGCCTAATCTCAGTAATAGAGAAATATAAAAGCGCTTCTTATTTCGAATAGAATATATCTAAATATAGGATTTTGTAGCGGAGGAAAAACTTTACAAAATAGGACGCATGTCTGTTTTATAACTCGTACTCAACATGCGTTTCAGTTGAAAAAAGATATCTCAACTTGTACTGGATGTGAGACAACTAACACTTATAAAATAATTTTGATATTTTAAACTCAACTTGTTTGAACTAAATAAATTTTGTTTTACAAGTTTCCAAGGCTTGAGCTTTTCTGTAATGAAAAAGCAGTTGTAAGTTAGAACAAAATTGATTTACTTCTAAAATAGCGTGTTCGATGCGATTTTATTTGTAGATTACAAATATGATTTTAGTTTTTATTAGAGGCGGAAAATGAGTGAAAAAATTGATTTTTATTGACAATAATATGTAGGCATGTCGAAGAAAAAACTTTTTTTTTCTACTAGTTAGGACAAAAAATTTTCTAGTTACTTTATATGAAATAGATAGACAGTACTTGCGGACAGTTTTCAGAATGAAACTGGAATGATAGAATTGATGTAAACAGCAGAAAAAAAATGTTTTGACTGATAACACTTGTTTTACAGCAGAACAGATCAACTTTGAAAATTCATAGGTTTTCAACGAAGTGGTTTCTAACAAAATAAAAAACAGGAACCGACGCAGTATTCCATTGCGTATTTAGGCATATAGTTTTTAGCTCATTTTATGGTCGGTGAATTTTTATTAAAAACCACTAGGATCCTTTAAAGAAACTTACAAATCCAAAGAGCAAAACTATTATTTATAGTAAGAAGATGCACCTTAGATACGTGTAATATTGATGATACATTCAATGCAAAGGAGGAATTTGTCTTTGTGTTTCAATTCACGTAGTAAAAAAACAAACTCAGTCGTTGTATCTTTCTTGTTGTACTGGTTTTTTAGTTAAAAATGCAGTGATATTTAGTTTCTGAGCAAATATATTCTTCACTTTCAAAAAAAAAAGCAAGTAGTAGTGTTATCGATGGTTTTTTGTACAAAATTGTACGTTTCTATCACATTCTGCATATCATACAGTACATTAAAAAACGTCTCAAAGTTTTTAATTACGAAATGAAACAAAATAGAGATAACGAGAAAAAAAACAAATTTAAAAAATAGAACTAAAAAAATATTATTTAAAAAAGAACAAAAATAAACAACAATAACAAACGCATTATCACAAGAATAAAGAAAAAATTTCGTAACAATCTGCGTTCAAAAATATTATTCCAGTATGCATACACTCACACACATACATAAACAAAAACTGGAGAAATTTTTTTTATCTAATAATCCAGTTATCTATTCTCGGGGTCATTGCGCAATATTGCTCAAAATAAACACCCTTGTTATAGATAGGAATGATGATGACATACACAAGAAAAGAAAACATTGTGTACAGACGATATAGAGAAAATTGAAATTGTAAATTATTTAGGATAATTTTCAAATTTCCATTGTTGTGTAGGTTTAGACGATACACATGGTCGTAATTGTACTGATTCAGCATTTGTCACATTTTCAACATCCAAACATAAACCACTTGGTTGATGAACAATTGGTCCATTCTAAACAGACATTAGATAGAAAACTGATATAGATATATAACAAATTTATCTTTGTTTTATTGATAAGATAATTATCATGATTAAAATGAAGATAAAAAATACTATCAAACCTTTTCATGTGTCCAAATTTGGCTTTTATCGATATAGTCACAGTTAGACAATTGTATATTTATCACATTTCCTTTTCCCGTACTAACAGCACATGTATCTTCACGTTTTAATTGTCCAGCATTTGTCAATGAAAAATACTGATTAGCTGACGCTCCATTTTGGCACTGAAATACTGCTAATGAAATTGTTACTTTTTCGTCTTTTCCTAATGTATCTAAACAGAATAGGCTTGATGGATTACGAACCTAAAGTAAATCATATTTTAATTAAAAATTGGCAAATCATATTCTTATACATGCATTTTTCTAACCTCTCCATAGCCCTGTACATTTTCATCAAGAACAAATTTTTCTGGATATATATTTTCTAAAAACCATTTAAAACTATGACAATTGAGCTTTTTACGTAGAGCTAGTCGGTCGGAAATATCACCGTAATCTTTTCCCTGAAAAAGAGAGAATTCAACTCATTAAAACTTCATAACTAAATGTTTGCAGACACACCTTAAGATCTCGACGATGCATATAATAAAATCGTTTGTAATCGTCCATCCATACTTCGGCTAAACGCATTGAATTTCTTCCATGAACATCGCCTTTTCCTTTCTCTCCGGTCATGTTGTATGGGTGACCGGGTCGAAAAATATGACCAACTCGAGAACATGGAACAAATTCAAGACTTCCACCGCACATCCAAACCTAAATCAAACCAAGAAACGAAAATATAAATATTATAACAGACAGATATATGCTTAAATGAGTATATTATGACATTTCTTACTCGAAACGATATTTCTAAATTTTCTCCACCCCAAACTAAAGTCAAAGAAAAATAATGGTCTTTTCTCAATTTCTAAACAAGTTCTAAAAAGTACAGACCTTCCATATCATCGTCATATCCTCCGATTTCAAAAAAATATTTCCGATCTGCTGCAAGTAATCCTCCAGCCATTGTAGGTGATCTGAAAAATAGAAGATCCGCTTTTCGTGTAAATAATGGATTAGTGTAACAATCTAATTTAATATATTTATTCAAAGTAACCAAGTCTAACCTTCAGGAAAACGAGACTTATCCTCAAATAAAAGACACTTTCCACTCTAACTATTGGGATTCGTTGTCACTTGGCCATCTCAAAAATACCTATAAAAGTCATATATTTTGCTAATTCACGCACGGGTATGGGTCTACACGTGATTTTTGTGCATCTCTTGTTCGCTTTGGTATTGGTATCCAATTAAAATGAAGAGACCACCAAAAACCGCCAACACTTCCATCCCCTATTAAAAAAATAAAATAAAAAAACTTACCACTTGCTTATGACGAAATAGAAAGAAAAAAAGTTTCTAATAAACTTAAAAGACTTACCTGTTCCACCATAACTCATATCGTGATCACTAATCATATCAATGCCTGGACATAAAATAGCTGATCTTTTCGTTTTTATACGATATAGAATAGGTTCTAACCTGTAAGAAAATACAAATGATATGATAACCATACACAAAGTAAAAATTCTTCACAAATCAGATATCTTGATTATAGAAATAAGAACCGCAATAGTCAGAAAAAAAGTAGTTTTCATTAAAAAAAAGCAGCCATTCCTTTTCCAGTGATATAAGCTGATATGTCCCTACAAATATGAATCTATTGATGACGTATTTCTTCCCGCAATTATACGAGAAATTTTCGAAGCCCAATTAAAATGTAATGACCACGTGAAAATTTAATAAGAAAATATTAAAAAAAGACAAATCCTTATCGTTACACATATGGACGGAATTTGTGTGAAGGTACAAAATTTGTCTCAAGGTCTTTTCGGCTGGGAAAAACAGTATATAAAGTGTAGTGATGCATAACTAAATATACCCTTTGGATTTTTACTCTTTTAAGTTAGAAGAACGAAAAAGAGAAAAATCCAAACTTTTTTGAAACTGAAGGATTTTTCGAAATTTTAGATCCTTCGAATGTTTTCAATTTTTCTTTCTTAAAAAATGTTTTAAAAAATTAAACATTTCCACTTTCTTTTTACTCAGGTCTATACGCTCTATCTAACTATGTATAAATAAATGAGGAAAAAAATCTGAATTTCTGGCATCTTACATGATTATAGGTAGTTTGCGATGTTGATCACGAATATAATATTCATTTGAGTCCATATGGACTCCTGGCGTAGATCTCTGAACAATCGATGTCTTGAGACCCATCTTAAAATTCAAAATGAAGAAATTTTGATCTGTCTATCTTGTAGAGCATGTCGTTACCTGTATGCTCTACAAGATAGACAAATCAAAATTTGTCCATCTTGAATTTTAAGATGAGTCTCAAGAAATCGGTTCAGAGATCTACGCCAAAAGTCCATATGGACTCAAATGAATATTATATTCGTGATCAGTAATCTTTATTACTCAAAGCATTTTAATGTAAAAAAAGCTGAACTATAGCTAAAAGACAGGATTTTCTGCATGCCATGAAGTAACTAATTTAATTTCTGTTTTGTTTTAAGAGCTTGACGAATAAATTCATTTTTTAATTTACGCGGTTGACATTTTGGTGTCTTCCAGAGTTTGTCATATAAAATTTTCTGTATATTCTGTGCAAATAAACTTTCACAAGGTTTTTTCTAGAGAACTTCATGGCGCATCTTTTCAAAAAAATTTAGCTCTGAGTGACCTACCGATGGAACCTGAAATAGAATAAAAAACTAGTGAGTATCATTCATCCGTTATATATCCAGATGTGAAATATATTATTGAATATTGGATTTTAGAAATGTGAAACAGATAATTTATTCAGTAAGCCGAAAAGATCTTGGGATAAACTTTAAACGATCCATCAGTCCTCCATATCGATTAATAGACACAATATGGTTGTATTCTCAGTTTTAATAATGATTGAAAATTGATTCAAACCTATAGCTACATAGTAGTTCACTTCAGACTCAAATAACTTGTGAAGAAAGTACCTCTTAACCTAACTACTGTCAAACAAAATTGACTTTCGAAGTTATTTCAAAGATGTCAGTCAAGAAAAAGATATATCTACCCATTAGGTAGAAAAAAGTGATTATTTCACAAATCTCTTCATTTGACTCACCATCCTTGATTTGCTTCACAATGTGCATCTAAGAAAATGATAACATCACCCACCGCCGTTTTTCCACCATAATTTTTTGCTTTTATCAATCCTAGCCTTGATGGTGCACGTAATATTTTCACTAAATCACCAAAATTTTCTTCACAATAATCATCTAAACGTTTACCCATTTCCTCTAAAAGATAACGAAAAAATTTACATTAAAATTTATTTTCTCTATTCTGTTTTTTGAAGAAGGGCCATTTTTTTTATATATACCAATATCTGATTGATCATCAACTAGGATAACTTCTTTTAGTAAATGTCTCGGTGAACGATTAATAACACTGTAAACTGTTCGTAGTACTGGTGACCATCTTTCATTTTTAAACACAATAACGACGCTGGCAGTGGGCATATCAGGCGGATAATTGATTGATTTACATCTAAAAATTATTAATGTTTAAATGTTTATTTCTAATTTCCGAGTTTAATAAACTTACTGGCCATCTCGTGTGTCGGGTATTGTTCTCCATAACGATACTTTATCACTTGCTTTTAAATTAAAAAATTCTTTTTTCATTACTGCATCTAAATCTTTCGATTCTTCAGCCTAACAAACGATAAATCAAACATAAATGTTAATTGTTTTTACATCACTATATGTATATGAATCTCGATTGTTTTCTGACGAATAGGGTGTAACATTTTGGTGAAAAGAGATTGAAAAAGTGTTTTTAAACTTGGATGCTGCATCCTATCAGGCTTTTTTCGACGTTTGGACAAATCTCTACTGAAGCAAAAGAAAAAGTTGAACAGAATGTTTTCCCGTCGCGGAAAATGCCATAAATCCACGAAGATACTGCCATCCCTCCTGATTGAGATCACTGTATATACTAACAAATTATTGTAACCAATTGTCGATCAGCAAAACGTTTAGATGCACATAAACAAGATGGATGTTAATGTACTAAAGAGTAAATAATACTCACGGTTAATGAGACACCTCTTCCCATTTCGCCCGGACACCCGTTACATGGCGGCGGTGGTTGATAATTTTCAGCTGTAATACGGGATTTTTTATACACCTTATTATCGACAGGTACAGTTATTGTACCCTTAATAAACTCTTTTTTTTCAGTAATTTTTACGTCACGACGTTCTCGTTTATTATTTTCATTATGAAAATATCCAAATCCAATACAAAACACAACTGCTACTAGTAAAATTAGTTTATTTCGGCGTCGATAAATTAGCCAATATAAACGAGGTGACATCTCTAAAAGAGACACAAGACAATAACAATCAAAGTAAACGTTTTAATGAAGGAGAATATTACTTTTTTCCGAAAGACTAGAGGAGTATTAACGCATTTATATAGTTAAGCTTTAAAAGTTATATTAACTCAATTAATGCATACGGGTAAGACAGAAGAAAAAACAAAAAAATATCAAATCACACCTGTTCGATAGAAAAACGCATTATATATGACAAGAAGAAAAGAAAGAAGACTACTTTTTTTTATTACCTATCACGTATTTCACATAATCTCCGTCGAAAGCATAAGAAAGAGAATAAATCAGTTAAGTAAACTAATCGTTTATTCTCTCTCGAATCTATCAACTCCTATTTGAAGTTCACTTTCACATGCTATTGCATCTTTATCAAATCAACGTGAATTATTTGTTTAATATTCGTCTAAGGCATAACCGATAATCATTTGGTTATCTAGATCCGTTTCTTACATTAACTACAACAGATGAAAGAAAATTACGAACTATTTTTTCTTTTTTCTACTCAAAGTATCTATTTTCCATTTATAGTATGAAAGATAATCAATGTAATGTCTTTATTTCAGACAGATATTAACAAAAACGTTACTCTACTTTGTGATATTCCGTTATTTATCCGTTTTCAAAAAGAAGAAATTAGATAGAAGACTATCATAACTGTTTGCAACTCACGAGGGAAGCACCCCAACTGATAAATCGCTTTTTCAACGAAACCGAGTGGACTATAGGTAGTCGACGATGCTGATTCCGAATATCACCATGAATGCTGC